GAAAAGTTGAAATTAGTCTCTTCAGGAACTTCGTTGATATCTTTATATTCTGTTTTGGTCAAATTTTTCAACCGGTTTATATTTTTCTGTAATCTATGACGTTTTGTTAACTATTACGTCACGGTATTTGCAGCGGAACTGCTATGAAGGTAGATTTGTGTCTTTATTATTCAATCAAAATAAAGGTTGTTTCAATCAAAAAAAATATGTTCAATTAAAAAAACCTTCACTTCAATGAAAAAAAAACTTTTCAATCAAAGAAAAAAAGTATTTGAATCCAAAAATATATTTGAGACTCAAAAAAATACATTTGAACACTGCTTTTCTTTGATTGAAAATGTTTTCTTTGATAGAAGTCCGTTTTTTTTTGTTTAAAGCAACCTTTTTAATTAAAGTAACATTGTTTTTTGATTGGACCATATAATGGGTAGGACATTTGTGTCTTTATCATTCAATCAAAAAAGAAGTTGCTTCAAACAAACAAATAACAGAATCAATAAAAAAGTCACTTCAATGAAAAGATAAACATTTTCAAATAAAGAAAATCGTTTTTGAATGCAAATAAAATATTTGAGACTCCAAAAATTGCATTTGAACATTTTTTTTTTTGATTGAAAACGTTCTCTTTGATTGAAGTAATCTTTTTTGTGTTTGGGCCATACATGGGTAGGACATTTGTGTCTTAATCATTCAATTCCAAAAAAGTTGTTTCAATCAAAAAAATATATTTTCAATCAAAGAAAAGACTGTTCAAATGCAAAAAAAAAAAAAAAAAAAAAAAAAAATTACCCCGTGAATAAAAAGGGGAATTAAAGAAAATGTGTTTTTTCAATGTTTTGTTTTTGAATTTTAAGTGAAAAAAAATTTAGAAGTTCAAATTGTTTTGATTGAATCTTTTTTTTTTTTTTTTTTTTTTTTTGAAGTGCAAAAAGTTTTGAAGTTCAATTTTTTTTGATTGAATCATTTTGAAACAAACGCTCCGCAGTGGGCGGGTGCTTCTCTATTGGTCAGACATGTTTGATTGACAAGTGTCTACACCAACGACATCTTTCTGACAATGAAGTCATGTTCGCGCGCCACTCGCCAGCAAGCAGCTTTTTGCCAGCAAGTGGAGGGAGCAGCCGTGAAGTTGTCGGTAAGTAGATAAAACAGGTTTAAAATAATGGGTGTCATGTTATTAGCCTAGTCTGTTGATATTTACATTAAATTGTAAGCTTACTAACTTAGTTCACGTTTTGTGATGGTGTTAGGTTAGATATCTAAATATATTCAGACAGGATAGCAAAGTGCGCGAACGGCTAGTTGATAACGTTCGCCGATGCGCTCGGTGAGTCCATCTCTATATGATTTCGCATCTACCACGGGGTTTTTTCTGTTTTTTAGTGTTACAATGTGTTCATTAACAGTGCAATCCATGCCGTTGTTTACATCCGAGTGCCTCCATAATGGCCGCTCATCCGGGTTACCACCGAGAATGTGACGTCGCTGCGTCCCCGTGTCGCTGAAGTGGCAAATATTGCGCGTGCATGTTGCTAACTCGCAACCATAAAAGCTCGCAACAGCTGCGCTTTCACTACAGGTTAACTACGGAAACTGTGGTAGCTCAAACAAGTCGATCTACTCTTTTTGAGCTAGTGTGCAGTGTGCACTGACTGCACTCATTAGACAAACTGATATCAGTTTATGGATGGATGGATGGATAGAATTAATGCACACACATAGACAAAGAAATAAATAACAGATTGTTTAACTTGATGTATGATTGTGTATTTATTGTCATTTTCAGCAATAGACAGCTAAATACTAAACATGGAACAGATTATTCAATTACTGAAAATAATCATGACCACAACTGCGTACATCACATGGTTTTAGGGTGCTGGGTGCAAGATTGACTATAAACCAAAATTACAAATAATTGGAACACTCATTTGATCAAGGCTCACACATAGATCTGTAGCTTCAGGAAAATGCTTCTTTAGTTGAAAGTCCTTCTGACAACAACTAATCTTGTTTGTATTCATTTATTTAGTTTTCTAATATCATATAGCATTGTCCTGTGTCAACCAATCACAAGTCTTGCCTTATTCTGTGTTCTCTTCTTTCCTCTATAGCATAGTCTTTTTGTTTTCACGATTACCTTGGCTGACACACACGTCAAGTCATGTAAGTTAACTGATTTTCATTCTATCAGGATTCTTTTTGGCCACTCAGCCATATACATGAATTTTAAAAAAGCTGCGTTAAAATATTGCTTCTCTTGTTCTGCTAATTTTAATTTGCAGGCATCCAATGGCACAACAGCTGCTACTGAGGTTAAAAGATAGATTGATTTCTGTCATCAATAGAGTACCTATTGATTTTGAGTACCTCCTATTTGTCTCCACCCAAGAGTTGCAGTTTATTCAAGCTGGCACACAATACATGGATATTCCTGCAGAGTTGGTGGATGGTCTGCAAGAGTTGATTTCAGTGCTCAGGTCACATCTGTCACAGAATACAGTTCCTCCTCTATTTAGTGATGTAGCCACCGTTTGTTGGAGTGGGAATGTAGGACGGCCAGAACTTCAAATGAGTTGTGACACACTACAGACATTGCTGGATACCTCTTTACCCCTAGTTCATTTAGCAGAAATGCATGGCATTTCAAGGTCAACTCTTTACAGAAGAATGAAGGACCATAACATTTCAGTGAGGGCATGCTATTCTTTAATTTCTGATGACGAATTAGACCAGAAAGTCAGAGCCATTAAGGGAAGGATGCCGCATGCGGGCTACAGAATGGTCAAAGGAAATCTCCAAGCAATGGGCCTTCGTCTTCAATGGAAAAGAGTGAGGCTGTCTTTGCAACGTGTAGATGGTGCTGGTATCATTTCCAGGATGATTCAGCTTCGTTGCATTGCTCGACGACGGTACTCTGTTCCTGCTCCCCTGTCTCTCGTCCACATTGATACAAATCATAAATTGATAAGGTAAATGAACGTCTTATCTGGCAGAACTTATTTTACATTTGTATGATGTTGCTTGTTGACCAATGCACTGTGTTGTATGATGTGGGAGTTCTACATAAGCCTGTAATAAACAATGAATAATATATTTTTTTCAAATCCATTTTTTTAAAGGTATAACATTGTCGTCTTTGGAGGTGTAGATGGATTCTCCAGGAAGGTAAATGTTTTCTATTCATTCACAAGGTATTTACCCTCATTAATAAGTTCACAACATACATGGTACGCATCTACCTCTTTCATAGATTTTGTATCTGGACACAGCAGCAAACAACAAAGCATCAACTGCTTTTGGATTCTTCATGGAGAGTGTTCAGAGAAATGGATGGCCCTCAAGGTATATATTTAATTGCAGGAGAAATAAAAAAATGAGGTGCTGCTGATTATGAAGTTATGTCATATATGGGGGGAAAAGCATTTGCTTTTCTTGCAGAGTGAGAGCTGATCAAGGGGTGGAAAATGTCGACATTGCCAGGTGTATGTTTACTGTCCGAGGAACAGGCCGTGGAAGCTTTATAGCAGGCAAAAGTGTCCATAACCAGAGGTAACAAAATGAACTTGTCAACATCTACTTTTTTGATAATCCTACTCATTCTGGTGGAGTAAGCAATACTCTGCTTTTGTGCAACAAAAGACCATTTTTTTATAGCAGCTGCTTTGACAGAGCTGAAGGTAAACTATTATTTTATTAATAAGACTGACAAGAAGCATTAATGACATTATGTTTGTGTTGTTTTGTTGGTCAATTATGTCAGTCTGACCGGATGTGGGTTTATCCTCTGTCAAGATGGCTTCTTTCCAACATGCTCCATGGCATGCTGGTTATAGTTGGCAGTCACAGCTTATATTGGACAGTGTACACACCTTGGCACTGATTGTAGTTTGCTGTCTCCTATACTCTCCACTCCGGATTGAAATGTCCTGGTGTGAACTACGGCTGCCACTTCTGATTATTTTGATAATCGACTAGTCATCAGTTATTCTGGTGAGTAGTCGATTAATGAGATCAGATATAAATTGAAGCATATTCACAGCACCACTCAAAAGTGTGGACACTTACTCATTGAATCAGATGGAAAAATGATTATTCTCGTATGTGTGTGTTTTTATATAAGTGTCAGCATACAATTCAATAAAGCTGACCAGACAGAAAGGCAGAAAAGCTGTTTTGTCTCATGAGTGTTATACACTAGTCTCAAATTTATACAAAGCAAAATTGAAAAACATTTCCTTTTTTGGCATTTCTGCTTGTTTCCCAGATAAGGATGGGTATGGCATTTGCTATTAAGTGTTGACCGCTCCAGAAAGTGTCAGAGGTGTTACAAATTGTGTTGAAGTTATAGTCGTTTGTTACTATAATAATTGTTAATTATTATTATTATTAGAATTTGATCCTATGATGATAATGTATTTTATTGTCATATGAAAATCTGTTTTAAACATTGGTATTCATACAGGGTTTTTACACTCAAGCAGGTCCCAAACTTAATTGATTAGAATATTCAAATGTTCCTATATGGCAGCCGGGCGATTCAGGTTCTACTGTTAAGTCATTATTATTCTGTATTTTGCCCCAACAGTGAAATAATGTTGAATTAAAGAGTAAGTTCTCTTCAGTATATGAGGGGCTGATGCCTCTGATTCTGTTTTTTTTTTTTTTTTTTTTTTAGTGTTTAGAGACGTGTGAATATATAAAAGAAAATGAACATGTTGATCTCACAATGGAGAAATTCACTTCTGCATCTTAACCCATCCCCTCAGGGAGCAGTGGGCTGCCACTGTGCGACACCTGGGGAGCAATCTGGGTTTAAGGGTCTTGCTTAGGGAGCCAGAGTGCAGGCAGTTTGGATCAAACCGGGTACTTGCATCCTTCTCAGGGTGCAAGCGCGCTGCTCTAACCACTAGGCCAACACTCCCCACAAATATGACATTCAAAGCTTTACTCAGCAAACCCAACAGTAGATGTTGACAAGTTCATTTTGTTACCTCTGGTTATGGACACTTTTGCCTGCTATAAAGCTTCCACGGCCTGTTCCTCGGACAGTAAACATACACCTGGCAATGTCGACATTTTCCACCCCTTGATCAGCTCTCACTCTGCAAGAAAAGCAAATGCTTTTCCCCCCATATATGACATAACTTCATAATCAGCAGCACCTCATTTTTTTATTTCTCCTGCAATTAAATATATACCTTGAGGGCCATCCATTTCTCTGAACACTCTCCATGAAGAATCCAAAAGCAGTTGATGCTTTGTTGTTTGCTGCTGTGTCCAGATACAAAATCTATGAAAGAGGTAGATGCGTACCATGTATGTTGTGAACTTATTAATGAGGGTAAATACCTTGTGAATGAATAGAAAACATTTACCTTCCTGGAGAATCCATCTACACCTCCAAAGACGACAATGTTATACCTTTAAAAAAATGGATTTGAAAAAAATATATTATTCATTGTTTATTACAGGCTTATGTAGAACTCCCACATCATACAACACAGTGCATTGGTCAACAAGCAACATCATACAAATGTAAAATAAGTTCTGCCAGATAAGACGTTCATTTACCTTATCAATTTATGATTTGTATCAATGTGGACGAGAGACAGGGGAGCAGGAACAGAGTACCGTCGTCGAGCAATGCAACGAAGCTGAATCATCCTGGAAATGATACCAGCACCATCTACACGTTGCAAAGACAGCCTCACTCTTTTCCATTGAAGACGAAGGCCCATTGCTTGGAGATTTCCTTTGACCATTCTGTAGCCCGCATGCGGCATCCTTCCCTTAATGGCTCTGACTTTCTGGTCTAATTCGTCATCAGAAATTAAAGAATAGCATGCCCTCACTGAAATGTTATGGTCCTTCATTCTTCTGTAAAGAGTTGACCTTGAAATGCCATGCATTTCTGCTAAATGAACTAGGGGTAAAGAGGTATCCAGCAATGTCTGTAGTGTGTCACAACTCATTTGAAGTTCTGGCCGTCCTACATTCCCACTCCAACAAACGGTGGCTACATCACTAAATAGAGGAGGAACTGTATTCTGTGACAGATGTGACCTGAGCACTGAAATCAACTCTTGCAGACCATCCACCAACTCTGCAGGAATATCCATGTATTGTGTGCCAGCTTGAATAAACTGCAACTCTTGGGTGGAGACAAATAGGAGGTACTCAAAATCAATAGGTACTCTATTGATGACAGAAATCAATCTATCTTTTAACCTCAGTAGCAGCTGTTGTGCCATTGGATGCCTGCAAATTAAAATTAGCAGAACAAGAGAAGCAATATTTTAACGCAGCTTTTTTAAAATTCATGTATATGGCTGAGTGGCCAAAAAGAATCCTGATAGAATGAAAATCAGTTAACTTACATGACTTGACGTGTGTGTCAGCCAAGGTAATCGTGAAAACAAAAAGACTATGCTATAGAGGAAAGAAGAGAACACAGAATAAGGCAAGACTTGTGATTGGTTGACACAGGACAATGCTATATGATATTAGAAAACTAAATAAATGAATACAAACAAGATTAGTTGTTGTCAGAAGGACTTTCAACTAAAGAAGCATTTTCCTGAAGCTACAGATCTATGTGTGAGCCTTGATCAAATGAGTGTTCCAATTATTTGTAATTTTGGTTTATAGTCAATCTTGCACCCAGCACCCTAAAACCATGTGATGTACGCAGTTGTGGTCATGATTATTTTCAGTAATTGAATAATCTGTTCCATGTTTAGTATTTAGCTGTCTATTGCTGAAAATGACAATAAATACACAATCATACATCAAGTTAAACAATCTGTTATTTATTTCTTTGTCTATGTGTGTGCATTAATTCTATCCATCCATCCATCCATAAACTGATATCAGTTTGTCTAATGAGTGCAGTCAGTGCACACTGCACACTAGCTCAAAAAGAGTAGATCGACTTGTTTGAGCTACCACAGTTTCCGTAGTTAACCTGTAGTGAAAGCGCAGCTGTTGCGAGCTTTTATGGTTGCGAGTTAGCAACATGCACGCGCAATATTTGCCACTTCAGCGACACGGGGACGCAGCGACGTCACATTCTCGGTGGTAACCCGGATGAGCGGCCATTATGGAGGCACTCGGATGTAAACAACGGCATGGATTGCACTGTTAATGAACACATTGTAACACTAAAAAACAGAAAAAACCCCGTGGTAGATGCGAAATCATATAGAGATGGACTCACCGAGCGCATCGGCGAACGTTATCAACTAGCCGTTCGCGCACTTTGCTATCCTGTCTGAATATATTTAGATATCTAACCTAACACCATCACAAAACGTGAACTAAGTTAGTAAGCTTACAATTTAATGTAAATATCAACAGACTAGGCTAATAACATGACACCCATTATTTTAAACCTGTTTTATCTACTTACCGACAACTTCACGGCTGCTCCCTCCACTTGCTGGCAAAAAGCTGCTTGCTGGCGAGTGGCGCGCGAACATGACTTCATTGTCAGAAAGATGTCGTTGGTGTAGACACTTGTCAATCAAACATGTCTGACCAATAGAGAAGCACCCGCCCACTGCGGAGCGTTTGTTTCAAAATGATTCAATCAAAAAAAATTGAACTTCAAAACTTTTTGCACTTCAAAAAAAAAAAAAAAAAAAAAAAAAGATTCAATCAAAACAATTTGAACTTCTAAATTTTTTTTCACTTAAAATTCAAAAACAAAACATTGAAAAAACACATTTTCTTTAATTCCCCTTTTTATTCACGGGGTAATTTTTTTTTTTTTTTTTTTTTTTTTTGCATTTGAACAGTCTTTTCTTTGATTGAAAATATATTTTTTTGATTGAAACAACTTTTTTGGAATTGAATGATTAAGACACAAATGTCCTACCCATGTATGGCCCAAACACAAAAAAGATTACTTCAATCAAAGAGAACGTTTTCAATCAAAAAAAAAAATGTTCAAATGCAATTTTTGGAGTCTCAAATATTTTATTTGCATTCAAAAACGATTTTCTTTATTTGAAAATGTTTATCTTTTCATTGAAGTGACTTTTTTATTGATTCTGTTATTTGTTTGTTTGAAGCAACTTCTTTTTTGATTGAATGATAAAGACACAAATGTCCTACCCATTATATGGTCCAATCAAAAAACAATGTTACTTTAATTAAAAAGGTTGCTTTAAACAAAAAAAAACGGACTTCTATCAAAGAAAACATTTTCAATCAAAGAAAAGCAGTGTTCAAATGTATTTTTTTGAGTCTCAAATATATTTTTGGATTCAAATACTTTTTTTCTTTGATTGAAAAGTTTTTTTTTCATTGAAGTGAAGGTTTTTTTAATTGAACATATTTTTTTTGATTGAAACAACCTTTATTTTGATTGAATAATAAAGACACAAATCTACCTTCATAAACTGCCAAATAAGGACATCGACTTCCGGCCAAACACTTTGAGCAATCCGCCATTTTTATTTCTCGCTGCAATTTTGTAGTCCAAGTTCAAGGATGCAGAAGTTACGAGAGGGTACGTCAAAATGTTCGGTTGTTGGATGTCCCACACGCTTCATTACACCGTCTCCCAGCATCAGAAGCTCTTTGAAGTGCCTGTTTGAGTTTTATTTTTCACGGAAATGTACCCACATCTGTGGGTAAAGTCATGTTTGTGTGCGCGAAGCACTTCAAGGATAACTAACGTTACTTCAGCAACCTCCGCCAGTATAAAGAAGGATTTGCCGATAGACTTCGTCTGATTGAGGGGTCAGTTCCTTCTATCTTTGGAGACGACGAACAAAGCACTTCGGTAAGCTGTAAATAACGTTAATAAAAATAAAGTACTCCTTTTTAGGTAACACTTTATAATAACTACACACTAATAATCATTAGTTAAGTATGAGTAAACAGTTAATTCATCATTCATAAAGCATTAATAGACATTAATAAGCAGTTTATAAATACAGCTATAAATGCTTTCTTCTTGATTTACAAGCATATCCATAATTTATTTAATAATTGTATTTTCATCCTTTATTAATGATGAATTTATTATTTCTAAATGAATAATTGCATTTTTTATAAACCAGTTATTTAAGAGTTTTCAGTGGTTCATAAGATTACTTAGAACGTGTAAGTAAATGATTAATAATCTATTTAAATGTACATTCATACATCTTATTATTCAGACATATAGTAATAGTTACTTAGTGTGTTAATAAATGCTTTATTAACATGTATTTAAGCTGTAATTCAGGGTTAATTCGGGTAGTTATAAAGCATTTAGTAGTGGTCAGTTAACTATGTTTGTGAGCTAATCTAAAGTGAGGACTATTCATGCCTTGTAAAGCATTTATAAAGGAGATTTAAAGGCTGTTAAATATTTCTATGTTCTGTATCACTGTGTTGTGTTTGTTACATTTTACTGTTTAGAAGATTGATGCGCCTTTAAATCTCCTTTATAAATGCTTTACAAGGCATGAATAGTCCTCACTTTAGATTAGCTCACAAAATAGTTAACTGACCACTACTAAATGCTTTATAACTACCTGTATTTACTACATTTACTTACACTTTCTAAGTGATCTTATGAATGACTGACAACTCTTAAATAACTGGTTTGTAAATAATGCTATACTTCATTTAGAAATTATTAATTGATCATTAACAAAGTATGAAAACACAATTATTAAACGCATTATAGATATGCTTATAAATCAAGAAAAAAAGCGTTTATAGCTGTATTTATAAACTGTTTATTAATGTCTATTAATGCTTTATAAATGATTAATTAACTGTTTACTCATGCTTAACAAATGATTAATAGCATGCAGTTATTATAAAGTGTTACCCTTTCTTAAAACACGGTGGTCATGGTTTAGCAGTTGTCTTGTTAGTGTGCTTGTTTTAACAAGATAAATAATCGACTTTTCTTTAATTGTTTATAATATAACTTATATTTTGTTTTGTGAGTATTAAATAGTCGTTGTAAATCATGCAGTATTGTAGTAGTGGGCATGGATGAAGAACTTACTGTAAATACAGTAACACGCCATTGCGATACATCCATATGAAGACGTTATTCTGCAGGTTCGTCGTCTTTATTTTCATCTCGCTCCGACTCTGGCTCGAACATGTAAGGCTTGATGGACAAGTCTTCCGTTGTTGACATTTTGTTAATAACGTGTGAATAAAAAGTTTCTGTTCCGCTAGATAATCGTATATCTGCTATCAAACTACAAAAATGGCCGAACGGGGTGGAGTTGAACCGAGTGTCACCTCTGCGAGCTGGATTTAAAGAGACCGCACCAAAACGAGTTGATCTCAGACGCACATCAGAAAAGGGGTAGAAAAGGGGTCTGTGGAGCTATAATAATGAGGAATTCAGACCCAAGCATTGCAGTTCTGCTTTATATAGACCACAAATGTATGATTTATATGTAAAA